AAGAGTCCCTGGATGAGTAATCGAGGCTGAATTTACGCATAGTGGAGTCTGATTAGCGCAAGTGGGCAGTCCAATCGACATTTGGGATCGTGAAGCATGGTGGTGAGACCCCAGAAATCCCGGTGAATCTCGGCCGCCGCCCTCGATCGTGGTTTCTGAACCTCTGGCCGTGGAGACGCATTTATGGCCTGGATAGCTGGTGAACCAATATCTCAGGCTGTCAGAATTCTTGTGAGAATGTCCACGTCTAATCACTCTGATCTTCATCACCAAATCCTGACTTCAGTCACTTCCCACCTTTCCTCATGCATTAAATGCTACTTTATGGCCAATGAGTTCGCTGCATTAAACAGGCACTACTTCATTAAATGAAGCCTGGGACCCTGCTGTCACGTGATGATTTGCCTTTAATGTCTTGGCCGCAATTTTGTTCGGCCTCGGCCTCGGCCTACGCTTGAGGCCGAGATGATCATGCCTTAGCATTTCCTTCTTTTATTTTAGGAAGGCGAAATACCCTGGCGAAACGCTGCGTTTCAGCCTCTGCAAACGAGTGCCAGGGCCGAGAGAAAGGGCTCCTTAGGCCAGCTCATGGCCGTGATTTATCAGGCACAAATAGATTTCTATATGGATTTTAGGCAGAACCGGTCCAAACCGAACCGATCTGCAATTTCGGTTCAGGTTCCATTTTTTAACAAAAATTGGTCCAAACCGGACCGTGCCCACGCCTACTCTTGGTGATGAAAGAAGTTTTCGCCTTGTCATCCTCGTGCATCATGATTTGATTATAGCCGGAGTAGGCGTCCATGAAGCTGAGCAGCTGATTGCCGGAGGTCGAATCCACAAGTTGGTCGATTCTTAGTAATAGGAAGTTGTCTTTAGGGCATGCCTTGTTGAGGTCAGTGTAATCGACGCAAACTCTCCACTTGCCCTTTTCTTGTTTTGCCACCAGAACAACGTTGTCCAACCACTCTGAGTAGGAGACCTCTTCGATGAAGCCAACAACTAGGAGTTTGTCAATCTCGACTTCAATGATTGCAACCCGCTCGGGAGCGAAGTTGCGTCTCTTTTGTGCCACTGGCTTGTTGGCAGGGTTGACGTGAAGTCGATGGCAGATGATCTTTGAGTCGATGTCGGGCATGTCAGATGGTGACCATGCGAACATGTCCTTGTTGTTCTGGAGGAAGGTGGTCAGCTCCACCTTCTCGTCTAGGCTTAGGCGTGAGCCGATCCGCGCTTTTCTGTCTGGCTAGTCAGGATCTAAGGGTATTAGCTCCACATCCTCTTCGGGTTTCCATCCTTCTTCTGGAAAGACCTCTGAACAAATTTCCTCAACTTGGCCCTGACGCTTTAATTATTATAAAGGAGCGAGATTCGGTTGTTCGACTTCCTTCAGATCTGTCTGACTTACAGGGAGAAACTGCATTTGTTTGCTTTTGTTCAACCCTTGAGCCAAGCATCTTCTCGCCATTGTTTGATCGCTGTTGATTTGGCCAACACTGCCACCAAGGATTGGATAGCGGATTTTCTTATTCGTGGCGGAAGTGATGGCGTTGATCTTGCTGATCCAGGGTCTACCCAAAATGCCATTGTATGGCGAGACCTCATTAATGACCATGAATGTTTGCGAGCTGATTACAGGTGGGGAGTTAGACATCGAGGTCTATCGTGCCTACGGTAACCGTTGTTGCACCATTAAAGCCGGTTAGCGATTTGGCTGTTTTGTTGATCTTTGCTTCCAAGCCCATCTGCTGGATGACTGCCAGCTGCAGGATATTAGCTACGCTGCCCTCGTTCACATGGATTCAGTCGACCATGGCCTGAGCGATTTGAATGCTTATGACAAGGGCGTCGTTATGTGGCATGTCGAGGCCGATCAAATCTTTCTTCTGGAAGCCAATCACTGGGTCGTCTTCTGCTGGTGGAAGGTCGGTCGAGATTTGGGAGATCACAATGGCCTGTTTGATCTTCCTCTTCTTTTCTTTGCTGGTCAACCCAGACTCCTCGGAGTCAGCTAGAATTGTGTTAATCCTTATGACCTTCTGAGGTGGCTCCTTAGTGGTGTCGCGATCCTCAATCTGCTGGATGGCATGCTTCGCAATGAACTCCGTGCAGTGACCTTCTCTCACGAGTTCTTCAAGGTGTGTTTTCCAAGCAAAGCAGTTGTTTGTAGTGTGCCCGTGCGTCCCATGGAAGGCACAGTATTTTCTGGTATCCCTCTTGTCCGGATCTCCCTTCAAGGGTAGCGGCCTTCTTACCCAAGGTTTGTCCTTCACTTGGGCTAAGATTTGGTGTATGGGGATGGACAACTTAGTGTAGTTCTCTCCTGCCGTAGCGTCCCCTTTTGGGTGCGACCTGCGCTTGTCCTTGTTCCTGTTGCTAAACTCGTCGCTTCTTTGGTCTGCCCGCTTAGTTGGCTAATCTTCTTGCTTAGTGGACTTTTTTGCGGCAATTCGATCATCATTCCAGAGCGCATAGCATTCCGCGATCGCAAAGACCTCTACCAGAGTCTAGCTGGGAGCAATAGTCAGCTCGCGGTATAAGTCATGTTCAGCTGGAAGTTCTTTCTTCAAAGCAGAGGACGCGATCCGGTCGTCACATCCTACAATGTTGGCCTTTTTCGCTTTGAATCTCTTGATGTAGTCTCGAATGGATTCGTCGGACTTCTTGCGTAGGTTGAACAGGTGGTCAGTGTTCTTCTTGATTGTCTGGTAAGACGTGTATTCTTTGGTGAAGACGTATGCCAACTCCCTGAAGTTGTTGATTGACCCGGATGGTAGGGTGTGGAACAAGTCTTGGGCTGCTCCTTGCAAGGTCATTACAAACACCTTGCACATCAACGCGTCGTCGGCCTTGTGGAGGATCATGACACTTTTGAAGTGTTTTAGGTGGCTTTCGGGATTAGAGTCCCCATTGAAGGTTGTAAACGAAGGCGTTTGAGAATCGCTTCGGGGGAGCAGCCTGCTCAATTTCGACGGTGAAAGGCGTAGAGTTCGCCTGGTCCATCTCCCTGCGTAGTGCATCTTCGAAGTTCCCGCCGGTCTTCAAGTCTCGAAGTTGGTCATTCACAAGCTTCTTAACGTTTTCCGCACGCATTGCTGATTGGACACGTTGGCGACCCTCTCGGTTTGGGCGACGCTGATTGACTTCCTCGTTGACTCGTGAGGTTCGTCCTTCTCGGCTGCACTACCTAGGCGGCGTGTTGGTGGACTGCGCTTGTGAATGATTTTCTGTAGTTTGTCGACGAGAATCAACTCCTCGGGAGTGAGCAGCGGAGCGCCTTTCCTCACGATCCCCACCGTGAGGGTTATCAGGTTGACCTCCCTGGGGGCCTAGCCTATCCTGAATGTTCCTCTGCGAGTGGACAGCAAAGCGCCTTTCTTCACGATCCATATTGCGATGGTCGTCAGGTTGACCTCCCCGAGAGCCTAGCCTCTCCTAAACATTTCCTTGCCGGCCCAAGCGGGAGCGGATGTCAAGTCATGGACGGAGCCTTTCTCGCACGTTGCTCTGAGTGTGGCTTGCGGATGCTTGTGACATGTTGGCAAGCTGATCACGTTGTTGTCCCTCTCCTTGTCTACTCATTCCTGCTCGACCTGCTCGGTACCCATCGTCCATCCTTCTCTCTTCGCCCAG